TAACTTGTCCATTTTTTTCTGGACATCAATAGGATATTGTTTCCTTCTTGTTTATATAACTTTATGTTCAAAATTTTCCAAAGTACACATTATTTTCTAATAATAAAATATACTTCATTTTAAGATGTTTAAAACCCAAAATTTGCAGTTGATAGTATGTGTTTTCTGACTATTTATTGGGTTTCACAATGTTAGTGGAGTTGGAATGAGATGACTCCAATGTGTTACACTAATACAATATCATAGGTTACATTCTCCAGGAAGCAGATTTGAGATGGGACTATAGGAAGGAAGTGCCATAGGATCAGTGTCTGTGAATCAGAAGTCAGTGTCAGTGCATCTTTGCAGGAATCTCTGGGAAGAGGAGAGCCTCTGTGGTTAGTCTCTGTGCATTCTCAATGGCCAGAACTTCCTGCTCTGTATCTTCACTCCTGAGTGCAAGCTCTAAGAAGACTTGACTTTGGGTAGAGGCATTTATAAGATTGGAAACAGTTCCCAGACTTAGTGGAGGCTGATGGCTGTCACTGAACAGTACTCATCTGCCACCAACACAAGTCCTTCACTGAAGGACTATCTGGGTTCTGTGTGCATCCTGTGTCCACTCTGCATGGACGTTTCTAATTGTCTTTCACAGTATCACTTGTACCTCGTCATTTTATAGACCCTACTACAAGAGACAGATGACACAAGGCCATGGATTAACTCCTCTCCTGGTTGTTTCTCCTGGCAACTACCATTGTGTCCTTTATATAGGGCAAATCCAATCAAGCCTCCCCAATTTATAATGTGTTAGTAGCTTCCCTTACATGGATCTCAAAGTTTTGCATTGCCTGTTATCTGCTTCTTTCTCTCCCCAGCCTTTCTCTCTCGCCATTCTTATCCTGATAGGCACAATGGCTAGCCTTCAGTATCTTGCCCATGCAATGTTTTTAGCATATGCCTCTTGCTTTAAACATTCCATTCCATAGTCAGATATAATGGTACATGTTTAAAATCTCACCACTGAAGAGGCTGAGGTAAGACATTCATGACTTTCTGTCCATTTTGAACTCCATAACAAGTTCCTGACCAGTTTGGTCTATACATCGAGAACTGTCCCAAAGAAACCACAAAAAGGTAAATAAATATAAAGATACCACTCCAACATTATAGCAAGTAAGTGATCTTATTGCTCTTGCAAAAGACTGTTATCTTTGCACTTGTGTGAGTAGGCACTGTAGGTTTGGAACACTGGTTGGTAATGAGCTGCCTGTTGCCTCACTGCACTTGCAACAGAATTGCTGCCATGGTGATACATATCACTGCTAAGAATATTAGCCTTTATCTAATGGGGATTTAACTTGATGCCTCAATTGATATCTGTCTCCAGAGGAAGAGACATATTGCTTTGAAATACATTGACATCTGTACATGTTTCTTTTGATGACACATCAAGATAGAAAAGGGGATGCATAGAGAATACATGGCAGAACAGGCTGTGGTGGGCAAGTCCCTGCCTCCATTTCACTTTGGTAGCAAGTGTGTTACTTGTGAGCCTGATTAACATCCCTGCATACTGGATAAAATATAGTCATGTTAAAGCAGCCCCACCCAGAGACAGGAGTGCCAAAAGCTAGAGTAGGACAAGGAGAAGAGATGAAATCAGGAGACCAAACTGTTTATCTCTAAGACAGGTTAGCCTCGGTAGAACAGGGGTGTGAACTGATGACTTGGAACAGGCTCTCACTTTATCGTCTCCCTTTTCCTGTATACCAGCCTCTCTTATTCCCCCAATGGCTTCTCCAAGGTCTGTACTTTAAAGTGTTCCTCTCTCTTTCCATCTGTACCCATTGCTGAAGGATCAACTCCAAAGCCATCTGGGTTTCCAGTTTCTGTTGACCTTTGAATGCTGAAAATCACAAGGTGGAATTTTTTGCAAGAACCCCTGAGTGTAGTTGCTAAAGGATCCCTGTATTTACTGTAAAGCTACCATTCCCCTTAGAATACCTTGTTTCTCTCTCTCTCCTCCTCCTCCTCCTCAAGCACTTTTATTTTATTGTGTGTGTATATGAACCACTAGTTCTCAACCTTCCTAATGCTGCAACCTTGGAATACAGTTCCTCATTTGTAGTGAACCTCCCAAGCATAAAATTATTTTTATTGCTACTTTATAACTGTAATTTTGCTACTGTTATGAATTGTAAATACCTGTGTTTTCTGATGGTCTTGGGTGACCTCTGTGGAAGAGTCAGTTGAAACCCAAAGGGTTCATGATGCATAGGTTGAGAAGTGCTACTCTTGTACTAATGTGCATCTGTGCACATATAATGCCCTCAGAAGTCAGAAGAGGGTGTTGGATCTGCTGGAACTTGAGTTACAGATGGTTGTGAGCTGCTATGTGAGTGCTGAGAACCAAACACAGATCCACTTCAAGCACAACAAATACTCCTAAAATCATTTCTCCAGCCTCAACACATTTACTCTTCAGAGAAGGTCCCCAGGTTTCCCTAGAAACCCAACTTCATCATGCAAACAAAAATTTTTTTGCACAGTTTTTCTTAAGCTCAACTTTTATCATATATATTGTTAAGTATATGATTTCATGTAGAATTATGAATTTATCATCTGTTTAATAATTAAATAATAAGGCAATTCTTTAGTACATGTTTGAATTTTATAATTTTATATATAATATGTCATATCATTAGATATTTGGACTTGTGTGGCATACATAATTCATATAGTTAATTAGTAGAATTGTGTAGTATTCTGTTTCATTTTCCTTCCATTTTTTTTAAGTGCTATGAATTGATCTCAGAACTTCATTCATGCTAGACAAGTGCTATATCTCTGAGCTATACTCCCAGGCCCATCTCATCCCTTATATATAGATTGAAATAGTTTCCATGTCTCCAAATTATGACCATTCCTTTTTAATGTCTCTGAAAATTTTTGATTTATATTTATGAAAGACATCTTTCCAAATAATGTGTTTTTGTCATAAAGTCGTCTTCTGTGTATACAAAGGGGATAAGCTTACATGGGCTTACATCCTCTTGCTTAAGAAATAGGATATTTGCCACTGTTGAAAACTGCTTGTGCCTCTCATATCATACATCCCTCCTTTTAACTCTGTAAACTGTCTCTATCCTAAATTTTGTGTTTATCGTTTCTTTGATTTTCTATATGCTTTCAGCAAATATGCTCCTCCAGGAATTCTTTGCCCTTTAAAAAAAATTAAATGTATTTTATTTTATGTATATGGGTATTTTACCTGCATGTATGTCTATGTATCATGTGCATACCTGGTGCCTGCATAGGTCAGAAAGGGGCACCAGATCACATGGAACTGGTGTTATAGATGGTTGTGAGCTGCCATGTGGGTGCTGGGAATTGAGCCTCAGTCTTCTGAAAGGGTATCCAGTGCTCTTAAATAGCTGAGCCATCGCTCTAGCCTTTATTCTTTTTTAACTATTCTACAAATGGAATCCCCTGTAATCATTCTGTCTGAATTTTATTAGTCCATGTTATATAAAATTCATTCATGCTAGCATGAGTAGCTGCTGTTTGTTTTCACTGTCGAAAAATAGGGCCCTGCAGCCATATATCACAGTTTATGAATTTTCCTGTTTGATGAATATTTGGGCTGTGTCCAGGGTCTTATTATTACAGAGTGTTTTTCTACAAACACTTTTCTGACTGGCTCCTGATAAGTGTTTCTCACAGTTTCTCCAGGGTGTATATACATCAGAACTGTTAACATTTCCTAGACCAGGGAACAACAGGCTTTTTTCTCTAAGGGGCAAGATGGTAAATATTTAAACCCTGTAGGCTGTAGAATCTCTCTCTATGCAGCAGCTCAGATCTTCCATTTTAACGTGGAAACTGCGTAGAGAACAATGACTATACCTGTATTCCAATCAAACATTATTCAATGGCCAGGGGGATGACTCAGTCAGTAAAGAGCTTGCCAGACAAGCATGAGGACCTGAGTTTGGATCCTCAGCAAACACATCAAAATCTAGGCTCTAAGACAGCAAGATCCTTGAAGTTCATTGGCCAGCTAGTCTAGCTGTAGAAATGAGCTTGGATTTCAGTGAGACACATTATCTCAGAAAGTAAGGTGGAGGAATATTGAAAAGGACGTCAAACTTTAGCCTATACACATATGCATACATGTGTTCACACTTATACATGCACACACAAACTTGTTTCACTTTAATAAAAAATCCAATGCTTTGTGTTAGGTCTCACACCCAAGACAAATGACTGAGGTACCTATTTAACATATCAAAGTGGGCCTGGCTGCCAGGTTTCTCCCAGCATCCCTCAGGCATACCCCAACCCTTACCCTAAACTTCTCTAGCCAAGGGGCTGGTCTGCCCTTCTCCGAGCTGTCCTTCCCTATATATAATCCATCCATTTTGGTTACCTGGCCCTCTTTTCTACCCTTTACCTTCCTGGCTTCTTAGTCTCATGGCTCTCTCCTTTTCCCTCCCCATTCTCCTCACATGGTTCAGGTTCATATTCACTCCTGATTCTCCCAGATGTCCCCGCCTCTCACTACGATCTCCCTTGTATCTATAATGAACTTTCTCCTCTACCATTTTTTCTTTTTATTTTTTTTCATTCAGTCTGCAAGATTTGGTCATCTGGTCATTTATAATCTAGATGAAACCTTCTTAACTCTTTCTGCATTTCACCCAAAAATTCTTATGAGACTTCGGGTATATAGTTTTAAAATGGGTATACTAATAAAAATCTTGCTAAAAATGTTTCTTAAGTGAATTTACTTTAGTTGTGGGTAGGTATGGTGTGTTGATGGAGAAATTTCCCTCAAAGGCTCATGCATTTGAACATTGGGTCTCTCCGTTGGTAGGGCTGTTTGGGAACATGATAGAATTTGTAAGAGGTAGATCCTTGCTACAGAAAGTATAGCACTAGGAGAGGGGTATTAAGATTTCACAGCCTTGCCTCACTTTCTGCTCTCCCTCTCCTTGCTTCCTGTGTGTGGATGAAAGATGTGAACAGCCAACTGCCAGTTCCTTCCTGCTTCTGCCATCCACCTGCTTCTTGCTTTTATGGACTATCCCTCTGGAAAGGTAAGCCAAAATAAACTCTCTCTTCCATAAGTTGGTTTTCATCATGGCATTTCTTCACAGCAACATAAAGGTAACTAATACAGTGTGTTCAAGAAAACTAAGTATGTATGAAAAGCCTTCTAGAAACCTGTGAGTTAGTAAGATCATTTCAAAATGTAACTTTAAAAGATATTAATGGAATTGCCCTGCATTGGTGGACAATGTTGCTCTTAGAAGACAAAGGTTTTTTTTAATGTAAATCATTGCACAAGGCATAAAAATCTCTCCCTTCAAGTCATGGGTCAGGGAAGCCCTAGAGGTCTCCTAAGTAACAGACTATTGCCATTGTCCTCAGTTGTCTTTCATAATTACATGGTAAGACCCTACTGCTGAAGATGCCATACTTCTGCTACAGGACATAGAGAAATCATTCTCAAACTTCCCCTGTGCTGGCTGGCTTTTCTAGCACCAGGCTACTGGGAGAGAAAAGACATCAATGGTTTTACCCAGCACTAGACCCTGCATGCCACAGTTACTCCCTTTCCAGGCAAGATGTGCACACTGCTGCAATAGTTCCACATTTGTTAGAATGACTAGTTGCTTTTTGATTGAGGTCTGATCCACAGGAGAGATGTGGTCATTTGAATGAGAATGACCCCCCCATAGGCTTTTACATTTGAATACTTGATCCCAAAGTGGTGGAACTGTTGGGAAGGATTAGGAAGTGTGACCTTGTTGAAAGTGTGGGTTTCAGGTTTCAAAAGGCTCATGCCATCCCTGGTGTGCCTTCTGTTTCTTGTTTGTGGATCAGGATATGACTGACTCTCAGCTGCTGTTCCTGTGCTATCCTGCCTGTCTGTTGCCATGCTCCCCACCTGACAGCGATGGACTCCTATCCCCTGAAACTGTAAGTCCCAAATAATCCCTTCCTTCTATTAATTTCCTTAGTTGTGGTGTTTTATGGCAGCAATAGAAAAGTAATGAGAACAAGGACATTTTCACATGTGGTACTGGAATCTTGATCAAAATCTGGGGAGGTCATAGGTACTAGGGTAGAGCCATGGCTAGATGCTCATGCTGCCAAATAGACTTCTACGTATTTACGTTCAGACCTGTAGACCTGGGCTGCTTTCAACCTTAGTCAGAGAAGGTACTTGTACGGTG